TCAGGGGTGGAAAAATGGCCGCGGACCACGTGTCAGGGCGGAAAAATGGCTGTACCCCGAGGCAGAGTTCGCACATCGAGGTAAATTTTTGCAGCTGGAGCTGGTCGTAACCCGAAAAGTTCGTTAGTAGAGGCGTTCGTATCCCGAGGTACCACTGTATACAGGTCTGAAGATCGTGGTGATATAAAGAAATATACCCCAAGTCTCAAAACCTGGATATCACCCACTGGAGTTATAAAATGCTTTGATACCTGGACTTTTTAATAGCTGGTGAGAGAATATGGAATGATGCCCAGTCTTCAGGAACACAACACTTGTATTATTTTTTGCCAAGTCAGTAAGCTTTTACCTATTTCACAATTTCTGCCTTCATATTTTAGAGGACAAATGCAAAAGTAGTCTTGATGCCTATCAATACAGGTCGCGCCATTCTGGCATGGGTTGGAGTCACACTGATTAGGATCTATGAAAATAAGCACTCAGCATTAGCAAGAGTTTTAGAAAGGCATTTGTGGCAGAATTGGTTAATTGGTATAGAGACGAATAACCCTTACCTGTATAGATTGTCCAGAATTCTTTCTGGGAAAAAGAAAACAGGGTTGTAGGAAAAAGATAAAGCAAATTATCCAACCTTAATGTTAAATTTTCCACAAGAAAAATAATACCTGGATCAATCTTCACCAAACTAATGCTCCCTAGGTGTTCTGCACTACAGTTCCCACAATGTTTAGTAATTAGCTATGCTATCTGAGAGTGATAAGGAAAGTAATCCAAAATAACTGGAAGGGACCCATCCAGAGAAGATTCCCCAACAACACAGCAACTAGATTTCCAACGGTATCAAAATCTTCAGCTACTAACATATAGAAACAGGAATTCTTTCACCACTAATGCTCATAATCAAGTTTAGTTCTTAAAACATTCCTATGTCTCTTAACAGCTACAAGTGGTTTGCAGCCCCTCTACACATTCCATTCATTTATTCAACAACAATTTATCCTGAAGTAAAATAAAAGCAAAGAAATTCTATTGTTCGTCTGCTTAAATTGGCTTTAACTCCCATCAGCTGCATTCTATATGGTGGATAGCAAAGAATGCTGGGAGCTGTAGTTTAACAGTGTCTAGGGAGAGAGATTTTATCTAAAGCTAGCTTAGTAAAACTGCCTCAAAGTATCCTAACGGTTCAAAATGGAGTTCCACCAGATGCAGTATGTGAAATGAAACTGCCTGGAATCAGCTGCATGTTTATACGTGTATAATTATACGGTATAAACATGCACATAACTGATGGAATCACAACTTCCAATAACACAGATTTTACCATTACTGTACACAAAGAACTATTAAAATATAATTTTGTGCTTCATTTCACAACCAGAATTACCAAACAACAATCAAGTTGGCAAATCTCAGTTTGCCATTTTGGTTTGAGTGCAAGTGCAGATAATATATTTTCTGGCTTAGATGCATGCAAGCTCAGGTTTGAAATGAATGTAGTGGGGGGAGAATAAGCATTGGTCAGGGTAGGGAAGGAATTATATCTAGTTCTTGTTCAGGTATGGTGAATCCTGTTAGATTTTGCCAATGAGTTATTCTTATTTCATTAAAAGTGTTTAAACCTGTCATTACCTCCTTGATACTGTAGATTATGTCAGAGCATCTCGTACCTTTCTCTGAGCATAGTCTGAACAACTATTCTTTCATTCTGAAGAAGATAACTAGGAGATCCTAGCCTTCTCTGGACTCAAAAAATTCACAGCTTCTTTGGCACTTCCATACTTACCATTCAACCAAACAGCATTGGGCTTCTACACAAATGTCATTTGCTTGTTTGAGCCAGTTACCTTTCCCCACCCCTAGATGCCATCATGAATGTACAAAAGCTTCAAACAAAAAGCTTAAATCTTGCAAAATGTGATAGCCCAGTTTTGATTTTATATACATGATACTCAGTTGTGTGAAATCTGGTGAATGGTTTAAGGCTTGTTTGTGAGAACCTTTCTAATAATATGTCATGAATTGTAATGCTCATTTAGTATTCTAAATGGAATGTCTTCAATAGTATTCCTAGTACAGTATTTCCTATTTTTTGGTTCTACTTACTCTTTAAAACAACATCAACAGACTTATCATCAAATTATCAACTGCTAACACTTCAGATAGGCAAGTACCACTGAAACTGAAAGTTAATTAAAAACAATAGTAAGTCAGCAGAAGAAGTCTCTTTGTCCACAATGTTTTGTTACTTACTGTCCTCAAGTCATCTTGGAAGATTTCTCTTGCTTCCTCCCATGAACATTTCTCTTCTAGGCATTCACGCTCAAGTGATCCTGTTTTAAGCTCCTCTAAGAAATAATTGGCTCTCCTAGCTCTTTGTAATACATTGCTCGCTTCCTTGTGCCTTAAGAAAACTTAAAAACAGAAATCATGAGCCAGCAGCATTCATCAGACTGAAGTGAAGTACCTCCCCACCAGAAATCACATACCCTATCTTAACATCCATTGAACAGTGGTTCCCATCTGAGAAATTTTTCAACATTTAGTGTGAGATATTTCAATGCTAGCTCAGCTCAGTATCCTAGTGTCCCTGTTCCTGCTCGTCAACATCATTTTCCCTTGTTAACCTCCCTTTCACCTGAAGGCAGTGGCAATCTATATGACTTCTGTCAACTTTTGTCTACTTTATAACAATAAAGTTATAGTCATATACAGCAAGTAGTCACCATCACCAATCAGATTAAATGGCAGTGAAGATATTGAAGTCAGGTCTAGTAGTAATACTTCAACTGAAAAGAATCCTTTATTGTCTATTCTAGGTCAGGTTTTCCTCGATCCCGTGAAGTGGACTGGCCAGAATTCTGTTAGGCCAGCCTTTAGGCAATCCCAGTGTATCTGTTTAAATTTTATATGAATTTTTTTCCTTTTAAAACAGGAAGCCTCCCTCTCTGTTCATACTACTGAGATAATTCTCCATCTTACACCACATTTCAAAACAATTTGCTCCAGAACATGCAGGTCTGTTCCAGAAACACAAATTGAAATCTCTCTTGGATATACTGAAGTGATTTTATATTTTGTAGAAACATTAGATATTAAAAGGAATGCGTGTATCCTCTGTGCAAGCATCCATTTAAAAAAGTCTTTTCAATATTTCTCCCAGTTTTGTGATTCAATTTTTCTACTTCAAGGACTTAAGGATCTAAGATCCACCCTTCTGGATCTGGCCAAGACCCATCGTAGTCCAGCATTTTGTTTCTCACTGTGGCCAACCAGAAGCATCTTGGGTACTCATAAATAAGAGAGACACAGTCCTCCCACACTGATGCTCCCCTACAGCTGATATTTGAAGGCACGCTGCCCCCAATCAAGAGGTGACACTGACAGTTCAAATCTAGTAGCCCTTGATAACCCTGCCTCCATTACTTCCTTGATTCAAAGACCATTAGGCTTAACTGCAGTAAGTCTGTGTTTTTAAACCCTGTCAAGGAAAGCATGCAGCAGTTAAAAAAAAAACTAGTTAATGCTATGAAAATATTACTTCTGTTTTACTGAATTTTACATTTACCAATTAGGAAATAAGTTTAGATTAAATGAAAACTGAATCAAATACTTCACTTGTTTCATTTTTGCTTGTAGCATTTTTTATATTTTCCTGATAAAGATATTGTACACAATTAAATATATTGTACACAATTTAAATGATTAATAATGAGAAAAGACTTGGTCTTAATGTATGACTTTAAAATGGAACAAGGAATCTACAGCTAGGCTTGGGTCATTTTTTTGATCCAAAGAATAAAACCACAACATGTTTACTATAAATTCCCCTCTTACAAAGAGATAGTGCTGTGTAGATATTTTTGTTCATCAGATAAGTCTTTTATAGTAATGCTT